TTCTATTGGGAGGAATGCCTCGCAGAAAACGATGTATGCGGCAATATGGAGGATGGAGTTGGGTGCGAGGTGGTGGAATTGGACCCCCTAGAAATACAGGAGGCTTTGGAGGAAGGGGTGGACTGGAAAAACCAGACCTCAGACAAGGTGGGGGATGGACATAACACGCTTGCCTGCCCGAGGTTCTAGAACTCGGGAGGCGGCACAGATCTTATCTCAAACGAGGGGTAAACGGCATTTGACCTCGTCCAGCGACGGTAGTTAGCCTCTCGCCTGGAGCTCGGCGATGTTGTGCGTTGCCGGTGACGGTGGAGAGCATCCATAGGCCCATCTTGCTTGTTGCCTTCTCCTCGGCTGCACCAGCGGCGGTGCCTTTTCCCTTTTCGGCCATTGTTTAGGAAGGAAAAGGAGATGGGAAGAGGATGAAGGTTGGGGTTTCGCTCTATTCTCTAGCGCTTGAGCTTGGGAGATTTGGGCGCTGGAAGCAATGGGAAAGGCGTGAAATGAATTGGATTCATCCTCCTCTCCTTATAGCCTAGTAAAAAACACCAAGGGCCGCGAGCCGTGCGGTAACTTCGATGTTTCCCAACATCACATGCATAATGTGCGCGCGTGAGTCGAGGGATTATTGTTGATGATGCCGCCAAAAATCCAGGGCACAATCCCTTTATTGGCGAGACGTGCCAATGGTAACGGCCTCGAGCCAAGATCAACTCGGCATAATGACCACTGATGGGACCTTTTGGTTCTACAGTACGCGGTGGCGGTTCGGTTTTCGGTCAAAGTTGTCAGAGCATGACCCAATCGACCCATTGTGCCAACACTACAAAATATTGCCATTAAGCTACCAAGGTTTGGGTCGGGTCTTTGGATCTGATGCAAACATTTTGAAGAGGGCGTTATAAAACTCGTCGGATATTTGAAGAATATTACTTCTCGGATTGAAGCACGGTTACAGTAGAGGAAGACGCTGGAAAAAGGATTTGGAAGGACTTCGGACCCAAAGGTGTCCTCAGACAGAAATTGACATAGAAGCATCAAGTTCGTTGAACTCGCCCATGAAGCCGAAGACCGTAGTTATAGCCACTTCGAGGAGTCTATCAATGTCCTCGGCTTGAAGACCAGTTCAGGGGCTACTGATGGTGTCCTGGACTAGGGGGTGCTAACCACGTCGGCCTGCTAGTCATGGGCCGGGCCGAGGACCCCTAGACAACCGAAGAATGAGCCATGTTTACCATGACCCTTGACATACTCAAGATAGAATCCTTCGAAGACTTGGTGCACACTTCAAGACATGTTCAAATCATCGGCAAGTTTATCCCTAGATGTAACCGACCTACATGTAACCCTAGGTACCCCCGGTGCCTATATAAGCCGAGGGGTTTTTGTCCGTAGGATAAGTTAGATTCATTCACATATGATCTCGAGGTACATCATCCTGTACTTTGAACTCCGTCACAATCAATACAACAAAAGCAACACGTAGGGTTTTACCTTTTTGAGAATGCCCGAATCTGGGTAAATGTCTTGTCTCCAGCTTGGGATCCCCTACCCGAGATCCGCCGGATTTAACCCCGACAAGTGGCTTTTTTCGCGGCTTGCCGGTCGAGAAACCAACTCTGGCGCCGGTGCATCGACGCACCCGAAACGCGTGGCCTCACCGGCATCCACTATTTAAAGGTGTCCAAACCCGGCAGACATCACACCACAACCCCATCCGCTCCACGTCTTCCTCCCTTGCACCACATCCGCCCGAGAACGCTCTGTGGGAGAGCTTGTTGACAGAGATGAAGCATGAGGTCACCGCCCTTGCGGCCGCCCGGCAAAGCCGCCGTGCAAGGCGGATCGAGGCCGGCATGCCGACCAGCTCCCCCGAGGTCTTCGATCACGACCCCACGATGGAGATGGGCTCCGAGGCCACTCAGCGCCGGAGCTCGCGTCGGTGCATGTCGGCTTGACCATGGAGCAGGCGCAGGCATACTTCAACGCCACCATGTCAGAGGAGCAGCCTGCGCCTATGTCGCTATTTCGGCAGGCGCAGGAGGAGCATCGGTAGAACCTGATCCTCAAGCAGCACCGACTGGACGAGGGCTAGATTTACGGTGAGCGAGCGAGGAAGCCGTGGCGGCCATGGCCGCGGCGTACCCCAACTTCGTCGCCGCGCAGCAGGCCCTCTATGAGGCCGCCCGCGCTCAAGCTGCCGCTCTCAACGCATAGGTGGCGTAGTTGGACATGGAGGTGGCGCTGGCTGCGCAGGCGATCGCGGACCAGAACGCCGCCAACTGCGCGTCCTACGCCCCGCCAAAGACTGTTTGGCCATGCCGGTGGGACGACGAGAGTGATGGCCCCTCCATTTCCATGAGTAGGGCATGGGAGGTGGCAGGGCATTGTGTCTCAAGTGGCCCGGTCTGTCTCCCATGTTCTACTCTTCCTTGCAGGATACCGTACCTTCACTTCATGGGTCTTGTCGCCGCCACTCATGGAGACGGTGGATGAAGGACGCGGTCGCCGAAAGGGAACAACCAGGACTTGGATGACGGATGCCAAACTGTGCGAAATGTAATGAACTCCGTCACAATCAATACAACAAAAGCAACACGTAGGGTTTTACCTTTTTGAGAATGCCCGAATCTGGGTAAACGTCTCGTCTCCAGCTTGGGATCCCCTACCCAAGATCCGCCGGATTTAACCCCGACAAGTGGCTTTTTTCGCGGCTTGCCGGTCGAGAAACCAACTCTGGCGCCGGTGCATCGACACACCCGAAACGCTTGGCCTCACCGGCATCCACTATTTAAAGGTGTCCAAACCCGGCAGACATCACACCACAACCCCATCCGCTCCACGTCTTCCTCCCTTGCACCACATCCGCCCGAGAACGCTCTGTGGGAGAGCTTGTTGACAGAGATGAAGCATGAGGTCACCGCCCTTGCGGCCGCCTGGCAAAGCCGCCGTCCCAGGCGGATCGAGGCCGGCATGTCGACCAGCTCCCCCGAGGTCTTCGATCACGACCCCACGATGGAGATGGGCTCCGACGGACACTCAGCGCCGGAGCTCGCGCCGGTGCATGTCGGCTTGACCATGGAGCAGGCGCAGGCATACTTCAACGCCACCATGTCGGAGGAGCAGCCTGCGCCTATGTCGCTGTTTCGGCAGGCGCAGGAGGAGCATCGGTACAACCTGATCCTCAAGCAGCACCGGCTGGACGAGGGCCAGATTTACGGTGAGCGAGCGAGGAAGCCGTGGCGGCCATGGCCGCGGCGTACCCCAACTTCGTCGCCGCGCAGCAGGCGCTCTGCGAGGCCGCCCGCGCTCAAGCTGCCGCTCTCAACGCATAGGTGGCGTAGTTGGACATGGAGGTGGCGCTGGTTGCGCAGGCGATAGCGGACCAGAACGCCGCCAACTGCGCGTCCTACGCCCCGCCAAAGACTGTTTGGCCATGCCGGTGGGACGACGAGAGTGATGGCCTCTCCATTTCCATGAGTAGGGCATGGGAGGTGGCAGGGCATTGTGTCTCAAGTGGCCCGGTCTGTCTCCCATGTTCTACTCTTCCTTGCAGGATACCGTACCTTCACTTCATGGGTCTTGTCGCCGCCACTCATGGAGACGGCGGATGAAGGACGCGGTCGCCGAAAGGGAACAACCAGGACTTGGATGACGGATGCCAAATTGTGCGAAATGTAATGAATGTGCTCCCCCCCCTTTAATGAAAACTGTGCGAAATGTAATGAATGTGCTCCAATTTGTATGAGTATCATCTGATTTGCATGAATTTTGTTCGGTTAGTTCAAATGCATGCCGATAGCGTTGTATGGCCGGCTCTCACATCCGTGCCCTTGGACCGGTCCCCCGTATTCGCGAACGGATGCGGTGTCCGGTTTGCGAGTCAGCGTTGGAGATGCCCTTAGTCTCCTGTACTATATATTTGCCCCTTGGGCTTTGCAATATAGGTAAGTTGCTCCTTTAACATGGTACAACTGCCTAGGTTTAGTTTTTTTAGACCACCACAACTCATCCATCTCTCGCCCTCTCGGTCTCGATCACTAAAAGGTAAAACTTGGTAGATGGTGTTTAAGAGATCACTAAAAGAAGAAGAATTGTCAAGCCAACATGCCTCAGTCATACAACACCATTTCAAGCATGTATTTGTTGTTAAGCTTCATGCACTAGCCAACGCAACCAAAAGTCCGAACTGATGTAAAGGGCTAGACAATGCACATATACACTTCAACACCCTTCTCACGTGTGACACAGGAAGTCAACACGTGAATAGACTTGAGGTATGGCTCAAGAGGCCTATACGTGG